TTTTTTTTTTTTTTTTTTTTTTTTTTTATTTTTTTTTTAGGGAGGAATTTTTTTAAAAAAAGGGTTTTCCCCCCCCCCCCCCCCCCCCCGCCCCAAGAGTCACTTGGTTGCTCCATGCTATTGCATTTGGAAGTCAGTCACTAAAGCCAGCTGCTGTGGCTTCCATGGGCCACATCCAGATTGGCTTGCCAGGAATGATAAGAGGATTGAATGCAGGGGGTGGAATTTAATGTGCAGTCTATGTGACACTAATGCTCTTTTCCTTCCAGGTTGGAAAGGCTATTTTAGCAAGTGTCACATGTGGTTGTTTGGTCTATTTCGATCCACTATGTTATCCTTTCTAGTTTAAAATGTCACCTTTCTCATTATCTGATGGATTTAGGTGGCATTTGCACAGCTTTCTTGGGATCTGATAACTCACCTTGGCTGGGGGATGGGGAGCAAAAAAAATATTAGTGCTGAAATACCATTTTAGCTTTGGATTTGCTTTTTGCCTTTTCATGAGGATTATTATTTTAGCATATCTACCTACTATCCCTGTGTGTGTGCACTTTTTTTAATTATAAAAGAAACTTTAATATATCCGTTGGTTGTGCTCCTAATGCATTTCCTGGGACAAAAGCTTGTTAAAATCAAGGTAGGAGCATGACAAAGAAATAAATTTAATATTTATTTCAATCTTCTTTTTTCCTTCTCCAGCTTTTGCCAACCTTCTGATTAAAGGTTGATGTTCTTGCATATGCAACCCTGTTAAAATGTCCTTGCCCCTTACAGAGGAGCAGAAGAAAAAGATTGAAGAGAATCGACAAAAGGCTCTGGCTCGTAGAGCCAAGAAGTCATTAGAAGAACAGTATCAGAGCACAGACTCAGGTTCCTCCATTGCCGCCCACCATTTCCAGTCCAGGCAGGGTCCTTCCCACAATCTCCCAAGGGAGTCTTCTAAGCCATCAAGCCATAGTGTCATTTTCAAGCAACAGAATCTCAGTAGTTCATCTGTTGGCGACCAAAGACCTCATAAGTCCCACAATTTTCATCTCAACTCACCAGAGCAGGCAAAGGGAATATGGAAGAGGCAAGGAGAGGTATCCACTGCCTGCCCGAGTCACAGCCCACCAAGTCAAATGACTGTCACTGGGATCTCCCCACCGTTGGCGCAATGTCCTCCAGAGATTCCTAACCAACGGGTCTCGGGTTATGAGTTAGATCAAGGTCATTCTCATGCTTCACATGAGATCAAATTGGCACCCTTTGCTAATGCAACTCATGAGCCTTTGGCCAAAGCAAAGAGTTCCCAGGAGACAGCAGCTTCTGCCTCTGGACAGTCGCCCAGGGATCCTGAATTAGAGGCCAGGACAGCGAAAGCCTCCACCTCGGGGCAGACCATTTCTGACATTCATTATAACTCAGGGAGTGTGACACACAGAACAGAAGGAAAACTCCAGCAGAAACTGGGGGCCTTCCGCCAAAATGCAGTAAGCTCACAGCAGGGAGCTTGCATAAGGAATGGAGACCGTTTCCAGGTGAAGATCGGGTACAATGCAGAGCTCCTGGCAGTGTTCAAGAGTCTGCCCAGCAGAAGTTATGGTAATGAGTCTTTTGTTCTTCAGGGGTTTTTTTTTTCTTTCTATTTTTAGTCTCTTTTAATCTAACAGTTTCTCATAAATATTAAGAGATTGCATTGGCACATTCTGTCCATCCAGTTGCTAAAAAATTTTCTATTTTAGCTTGTGTGTTTCCCTTTATAATAGACATTCCCTCAAACAGCTGCCAGACATAGGGGCTGCTGCATGGCTGTATGGAGAAAGGTTGGGTATTTACTGATAAGCCAATTTCTTTGACAGGTGCTCTGTATGTGTTGTAGCATTTAAGCCTGACAACAGTTTTTTGAAATAGGTAGATGTTATTGCAGTTTTTAAGGTGTTGGAACTGGCTCTGCAAGGTTAAGTAGCGTGCTTAGGTTGGTCTGTCTGGCAGGGCAGAGCTGGGATGTGGCTTGCTCTGCTACACCTTAGAGCAAGTGCTCCTCATACTGCTTTGCCTGACTACAAAGGAGATTTGGAGAACTTGCATTCTAGTCCTAACTCTGCTCTCAGCCCTCTTAGGTGAAACACATAATTCCCCAGGGCCTGAGTTGACTTCTACTGTATGGAATGAAAAGTTATCTGTATTTACCATTTGTCCTCTGCAGAGATTTTGTAAATCAGTAGGGGCTTGCCAATCAACTGTTTTGAACTTGGCATTCATTCATTCATTCATTCAGAAAACAAGGCTTTGTTAAGTGTGCAAGTACAAAGTATTACAACAGTCATCAGCCTTCTGTTTTATTTCAGATCCTGCCACCAAGACGTGGGACTTCAGCATGACAGACTACAGTGCCCTGAGTAAGTAGGCACATCATTGTCCCTCATGGAGGGAGATACTGATGTTGAAGAAAAGTTTCTCTGGAGTAGCAGATGTGGTCTAGCTTGTGGTGTGCATAGCTTTATAGGTGGTAAAAGCTTTCAGGGCCCCATCCCCACACTCCTTCCCACTATGGCCAGCCTAATGAGGTGGCTGCTTGGGCAAAAGTCATTGGTAATATGAACGAAAGCTAGTACTTCATGGTACCTGCTATGCACTAGGCTATTCTAAGCCCCTGATTATGCTAACTATTTTATTCCTTATAACAGCTATTTTGCAAATAGGGAAACTGAGGCCCAGAGAGGATGAGTAACTAACACAGGGTCAAACAGCCAATAAGTTGTGCAATTAGGATTCAGACCCAGACAGTCTGACTGCAGAGTGCACATTCCACTGGATTGGACTGGCTCCCACACTGACAGGCAGCTGTGCCAGCCCCGCTCCCAGGAAGAAGCAGCTCAGCAAGCAGCACCATCCCCACCATACTCTCTTGTGGCTGGCTGTGTCGACAGTGCAGGGAGGGGGCATCACCAAGCAGGTCGTGAGCCCCTGGGTATACCAGTCTGTCTTCTGGGATTTTGTTGACTGTCCCACACCAAGGTTTTCATCACCTCGTCCTGGAGCCCATGCCTCTGTCAAGAGTCAGCCCTGGCTGTTCTCATCTCCCATCTTACTCATCTCTCCCAGCAGCCATTTCCACATCCTCTTCCCCTACCCAGTTCAGAAAGGGAAACAATGAGGATGCATGCTCAGGTTGCTTTACTGCAGATTTGGGGCATGAGGTAGAGTTACCTGGAGTCACCAGTGCAGTTTCTGGGGTGTGAGGTGGGGGGACAGCTCCCTGAAGAACTTGCTGGTTCTCTCCGTAGCCTCCAGTTCTTGAAATGTGTGGCATTAGGTGGTGTCCCTTTTCTTTGGTAGCTGCTGGTGCATTCGTTTGCTAGGGATGCCAAAACAAAGTAACATAAACTGGGCAGCTTAAACAACAAAAATTTATTCTCTCACAGTCCTGGAGGCTGGAAGTCTGAGAGCAAGGTGTCGGCAGGATTGGTTCCTCCTGATGTCCCTCTCCTTGACTTGAAGTAGACTGTGCTCTCACATGGCCTTTCCTCTGTGCACACGCATCCTTGGTGTCTGTCCCTCTACTTATAAGGGCACCAGTCATTTTAGATTAGGGCCTGTTGACCTTACTTAATTTATTAACCTCTTTAAAGGCCCCCATCTCACACTCACATTCTGAGGTCCTGGGGATTGGATCTTCAACATGTGAATTTTGGAGGAAAACAATTCAGTCCATAAGACTGCTGGCGACATTTTGGGGAAGCTCATTTTTTAACCCATTTGTTGGGTGCTGGAAGGAAGAGCCCCAGTGCTCTGGTTGAGATGGCAGAGTTTGATGTCTGGTATTCTCTGCTGCTGCTCACTTTAAATGAGGCATTTCCACTGTCACAGTTTTGTTTGTTTGGTCATCTGTTCTCTGACTGCAGTGCTTGGTGACTCAGATGACTTCTCCTTTTGTACCTTTATGTTTTCTGTGTAGTGTGGTTGCTTTTCGTAATGCTCCACATGTTTTTTGAAAACAGTGTTTGTTGGGCGCAAAATTCTCTCCGTAGCTTTTAGATGAATCTTACTGATGAAGTGTTTGGCTCCTGTATATTTTTACCAATGTTTTGCATGCTTGATCTGTTATCTACTGAGATATGCCTTGAACCTCTTGCAACATTTGTGGATTTGTGAATTTATTTCTAAGTTTCAGATAGGTTCATTATCGTCCTGTCTTAGTAGACTATACTCTTTATCAGTGTAACATATAAAGATTGTCTCTGTGTCAGTCTTCCTGTCATTTTGCTTTAGGTATATCTCTGGATTTTGCTTTTTTAACCCACATACTCACTGTAGAACATATGGAAAGTATGTAAATATGTAAAGGAGAAACTATTCTTCATAACCTCCCCACTTGATTAACCATTATTAACATTTTGCCTTTGTTCCTCCCAGCCTTTTTTCTTTGTATTAAAATGTACAAATTTAGGGGCTGGCCAGTCAGCTCAGTTGGTGGTTAGAGTGTAGTGCTGATAACACCAAGGTCCGGGGTTTTATCTCTGTACCAGCTTAGCTGTAAATCTGTGTATTTTATTTATTTATAACATAAATGACTAAATAAATAAAATATACAAATTTATACATGTATATAATTTTTATTTTGCCTTTTTCATTTAGTGTTACAGCATAAGCATTTTTTATTTTAATAATGTTAATAGTTAATTCCGAGTGATGAAAATATGAGATGTCCATTATTACAGTGGACCATTTGACCTTCAAAAACGATTTCATGTTGTTGGACTTAATATTGTTTTTTGTACTATTGTTTTTTTCAAAATTTCATAGTTAAAACATAAAATTAATGGCTACATAACATTCCATTGTATGACTGTGTCATAAATTGCTTAAATTATTTTCTTGCTGTTTAATTTTAATTTGTTCCTAGTTTTTCCAGTTTTAAAGCTGTAAGGAACACCTTAGTGCATAAATTTTTGTCTATTTTCAGTTGTAAGTTGGCATAGATTCCCACAAGTTGAATCATCATAATCACGTTTTAGAGTTCTTGCTATATATTGCCAAATTGTTTTCTAAAAGTTTTATTTCCAACTAGCAATGTGCATGTCTGTTTTTTTATCTTGCAAGTTTGGTAGGTAAAAAAATGGCTTTTATTTCTTTATTTGTGAAGTTGAACATTTCTTCAAATGTTTATTAATTTTTCTCCCCCCTTTTTAATTGGCTACATTTCTATCCTCTTATTTTGTGGTCTTAGGATTTTTTGAGCATGAACTGTTTGAATTTCTTGCAAGTGTCTTTACTCAGTAGTTTTGCCTCTCAGGTCAGTTTGTTTTTTGACAGTTTAGTTTTATGTAGTCAAATCTATTTATCTGCAAAATGTATCACTAATAGATAAAAGCATTCGTGGTCTGGCAGCCCTGTTTCTTTTTCCCTTGGTCTCCAAGCAGTAGACAGAATAGTGACCTGGGAACGGGGCTGACAGTGATCTGTGGTGTGTTGACTTCACTGACTTCTCCAACACATCAATGGAAACTATCTAGCAAGTTCACTCATCCTGGTGTGCTTCCTCTCCCCACTGTTAATTTCTGAATTCTGAGTTTTTGTTTGTTTGTTTGTTTGTTTAAAAAAGATGACTGGTAAGGGGATCTTAACCCTTGACTTGTTGTCAGCACCACACTCTCCCAAGTGAGCCACGGGCCAGCCCTATATAGGGATCCGAACCCGTGGCCTTGGTGTTATCAGCACCACACTCTCCCAAGTGAGCCATGGGCCGGCCCTTGAATTCTGTTTTTTAATTTTAAAAAGGTGAGCAGAAGAGTTACATTCAAGAAATACTGAAATTCCTAAAGCCCCAATTAAAGGAAATGTAAAACCTTCCTAATTTACCAGTGCCTTTTCTAGCCTGCCTGCCACATGTAACTTCTCTTGACCCTGTCCCTGCCCTACTTTCTCCCTCCTCCCTTGCCTGCCCAAGCATCCCAGGGCCACGTCAAAGTCATCTGCTTTGTCATCTCTGTCCTTCTCTTTGGCAGTGAAAGCAGCTCGGCGCATCCCCAAGGTGACCCTGCAACCTTTGGAAGGGGCCGTTGGCAGTGGTGGGGGACAGACTGGCCTTCCTTCAGCTCCGTCCCTTGCCTTTGTCAAAGGGCGGTGTACGCTCATCTCCCGGGCCCGCTTTGAGGCTGACATCGGCTACTCGGAAGACCTCATCACAGTGTTTAAACAGATGGATTCAAGGACATACGGCAAGTAATTGATCTCTGATTCCCAGGATGTATAGCAGTCTGTGATCTCAGCATAGGGTGTTTTTCTCTATCTCTGAATATTCAGAAATGACTTTCTTGTAGAGGCTTCCTGGACTGCTCCTGTTACTGTAGAAAGATGGCAACTCAGCTTTTCCAGATAGTGGACACATAGTGGGGGCTGTTTTATACTTAAGGCCTCCCAAAGAGAAGACCTCACAATTTTCCTCAGGTACCTGATCAGTGTCTTCTCATTAGAAGCAGGTAAATTCATGCTTCAGCCACTTAAGCCCATCTATTTTTAGTTTAGCCTTAGCAGAACAGAAAAACAGGTGGTTGCCATAAAAATAAGTGCCTTTCCATCCATAGGCTAAGACACTGGTTTTCAAATGTGAGCATGTGGGGGAAGCATCTGGCGGCCTTGCTAACACTGAATGCTGGGCACCACCGTGGAGTTTCTGATTCTGGAGCTCTAGTGTGGGGCCAAAAGTTTGCATTTTTCAGCGGCTCCCTGATGCTGTTGCTGCTGCTCAGGGTTCCACGGTTTGCAGATGCTGATGGTTCTCTACTCTGGCTGCTCATCAGCATCACTGGGCTCCTTCAGAAACCCCAGTGCCTGGTTCCCAGCCAGAAGTGCTGATTTAACTGGGCTGAGGTGGGGCCTGGGCACTGGTATTTTTAAAAAATCTTCAGATGACCCTAATAATTCGCCAGGGTAAAAACCACTGGTCAAAGCAGAATAGTTTGCTTTATTTTTTATGAGGTTCTTCAACAGCTGTCTGGTAAGAATAAGGGGCAGAAGCAGTTTTAGAATTCTGCACTCCTGGATTTCATTCTTAGCTCTGCCCATGTTTTTTTTAGAAATTATATGGCTTTTATGGATCAGTGTTTTCACATTCTTGAAAAGGTTTTAGTCTTTTCCTTAGGCAAGTAGAAAGCAAAGCTTTAAAACATCATCACATTTGGGGCCGGCCCGGTGGCACACTGCTACAGTGCGCCGCTTGGGAGCGCGGCGGCGCTCCCGCCGAGGGTTTGGATCCCACAAACAGACTGGCCACTCACTGGCTGAGTGAGGTGCGGGCTCAACACCAAGGGTTGCGATCCCGTTGCCGGTCCCGGTCCGGTCCGGGCGCAACACTGAGGGTTGCGATCCGTTGCCAGTCACGATAAAAAGACAAAAAGGAAAAAAAAAAAAAAAAAACATCATCACATTTGGAATGAGGCTCTGGCGGAAGAGCCTCTAGAATTACTCACTAGTGAGAGGTTTCGTCAGGCGTGGCTCCTTCGGGAAGAGGGTGATGGTTGCTATAACATCATCACCCCTTAGATGGGTCAAGTGTTAGGCAGAGTTCAGGTGAGATATGCTGGGCCCAGCCAGGTCATGACATGAGCTGCCCACACAAGGGCTAGGATTCTTAACACCCCCAGCCCCTCATATGTTTGGCTTCAGGTTGGGGTAGCCCTTAAAAAGCAAATACAATGATCTGTATTTATCATCAGCTTTGAAATTACACTCTTGACATGGTCTGCTGTTTTGGGAGCGGGTACAGTTAAAATATTGGTACCCGATCCTGCTCACACCCAGACATCCAAAAACCATGATTCGATTCTTTGCCATAGCTATTATTCACAGATTTTCCCACTTGCCGCTCTGCCACTGTCAGAATTAAATTTTATGTAATCATCACAGTAGACCTGTGAGGTAGGGGCTGTAGTATCCTCATCTTTCACACTGGAGACTCAGAGATGTTTTATAACTTGCCCATGGTCACGCAGCTAGAAAGAGGCCGAGCTGGGATTTGAACGTGGGTGGGTTGACCACTCTGACCACACACAGCTTGTTCACCATGTCTAAAGTGGAGCTAATAACAGAGACCACCCTATAGGGTAAGGGTTTGATGAGATGGCACAAGTGACCCTGGGCACAGTGATGGCTTCACAGAAGTGCTGAGTAAGTGTAAGCCCGCATCATCCGTGTCTTCTACATTCAGGGCATTTCTGACCCGCTGGGCCATCCCGATCATGTCTCCCTGTAGCACCTTATATCACAACTCTTAGAACCAGTGTTGTCACCATCTCTGCTCCTCTTCCCTCCCCGTATACTGTGGAAACCTTGAGGGCAAGTACTGTCTTAACTTCTGTGTCCCCAGTGCCCAGCGCAGGACTAGCCACATTGTCCAAGCTTAATGGAGGTTTGTGCAGCCAGGGAATGAATGAGTGTGATGATGTAGCAGGAGGGCAGGGCATCCTCTTTGCTTATTTATTTCTTCTCATTGCAGATGTCAAGACCAGGAAGTGGAACTTTCTCTTGGAAGAGCACAATAAACTCAGTGAGCAGCCCACCTTGCTTGTTTTGTATCACGCTATTGTTAAGCTTTACTAATCTGCCTTAAATTTAATGTATTTGAAAAGAATCCCCTCCCTCTGCTGTGGTAACTTCAGATGCTTAAGAACAGGGCAGGTAAAGATGAAGATGTGCTGAGATGGTGGCTTTATGATGCAGATACAGGCCTCTTCTTCCATAAGGGTGAGGTGGTACTAGTAAAATTCCCAAGGCCTGGGAAACCTTCTGCCATCATAGAAGTGCTGGAAGCGGGGTACAGGTACCTTGGGAATCAGGGATGAGCTCGGATTGCTTAGCTTAGATGGAAGCTACCTTAGGTTACAATTCCCAAGGCCTGGGAAACCTTCTGCCATCATAGAAGTGCTGGAAGCGGGGTACAGGTACTTTGGGAATCAGGGATGAGCTCGGATTGCTTAGCTTAGATGGAAGCTACCTTAGGTTATCTCTAAGAAGGGTCTCAGTTTGCTTCTAGGAGAGTCTCACTGATTATGGACTTCATTAGGGACTGATTTCCATCAGATATAGATGTCGAGGCCAAGGGATTTAAACATTTAACAAGCACCTTAGAGATCAACCAAGGGAAGGGCATGTGTGTACAGATATCATAACTGCAAGAAGGAAGAGCCACTTCGGGCTTATCGATTTTCTTCTGTGTGTTCTGCTCAGATGGGATCAATTCTAATATGCCTGAGAAAGAGGGACGTGGCTGTATCTCAGCCTGTCCTGCAGTACTGGTCTCTCATCCGTCTTCCAAGCTGTAGCAGTTCTGCAGCTGGCACAACTTATGATCCTCCTGCTTGACCCCCTTGAGGGCTTGCTGAGCCCCCCAGACAGTGGGAGGTGTCACTTGTTGCATCAGGCCAGGAGAGATAGGATCCAGCCCTGGGAACTCTAGTCATTGGCCATCTTGCCCATCAGGCTAGGGCTTTAAGGAAGAGGGAAAATCATGGTTTTCCTTCCCTTTGTTTCCTTCTTTGTGACTTACTGTGGGACACTGGGCAGTTAATTCAACATTCTGGGCTCTATTTGTCCCTTTAGTAAAAATACAGGGTCTTTAATCGCAATCTGCCCTGCTGACATAGGAATTAAATATAAAAGAAGAGCTTTTGGTTGCTTGAGGAAAGACTTGCTGTAAACTACAAGGTTAAGTTTGAAGATGAGGTGGTCCTTACTCAGTACTTTTACGTGCTGGCTGAAGCAAAAAGAATGGCTGACATTGATCTGAGACTCTCTGGCTGCTGCTATTTGGAACTTGTGATTCAGAGGGCCAAAGCTGAATTTTTAATGAGAAGTAGGAGCCAGTTCTTTCCTCTCTATCAGGAAAGACATAAACATGTTAGCTATAAAAGCTTTGAGTTTTATGGAATGACGAAAAGCAAGATAGTAGCAGTAGCAGGTGAGTGTAATGTTGAGAAACTCACATAGCCTTACATAGTGGTTCTTAATCGTTCACGGACCATAGATTCCTTCAAATACCTGATGAAAAGGTGGATTCTTCACTCAGAAAAATGCACATAATGGCCACACATAAAATTTCACATTTGGTATTAATAATTCCATGGATCCTGAGTAAAGAATTCTAGCTTAGAGTTTTTACATGCTATCTCGTCATTACAATGTCTTGTAGAAGACTGATCTTCCCTATTTCATAGATTGGAAAAAGCTTGGGCCTAGAGAAAGGAAGTAGTTGCTTTCCTTATTGAGAGCATTGCAGGGTCATCATAAAGTCAGTGACAGAAATAAGACAAAAATTTCCCTCTGCGTTTGTAACCTGACCCATTATGAGACTTAGAAGCCAGCTCTGTGAACTAAGAAGCCAGGCAGGGAAGGCACTGCAGAATGTAACACCGTTTCCAATTTAGTTCTGATTTTACCATTAACCCCCTGTAAACCTGGGGAATTTGCACCTCTCTCCTCACCCCGAAGTCTCCTTCCTTGTGTAAAATGAGATAATTGACCCAGAGCTAGTGAACATGTGCACATAAAACTAATTAAGAAATGATGGTGAGACCTGAGTATTTGCATGCTCGTTGATGATGTGGTGAGAATTATTTTCTCTAGCAAGGTGAATCTAAGAGCTTTCCGCCCCTGTTTTTTCTAAGTGACTTGAGGTTTTTGCCCCCCAGTGAAATAGGCATGAGCCCTTTTGTTTTGCCCCGGCTGTCACAGTCCAGAAGCGTTCTCAACAAGCTTGTCCTGTCAGCTGCTATTTGAAAACATTAGCATCTCTCTGCTGTGTTACTGGTAGCGTTCTGCCAAAGAGCTATTTTACAGAAATGACTTCTAGATGACTCATGAAGCCAGACGGCACACACCTGTCATCTCCCAGCACCAGGGAAAGGACAATAGAGACTGTCATTTACAGGGAATGGTGGCTTTCTCAGAAAGATACTCGGTTGGCGGAACTAGCAGCATAGGATTTTGGAGACGGTAGTTGATAGGAGACAAAGTGGATGTCGGTTTTATTCCTCCTGAATGGATGAGAGAATATAATGCTTTCAAAGCACTGTGTTTCACACCAGCCTAATTATCAGCCCTTTCTCAGCTTTCATCAGGTATTTGAGTTCTGAAGATCATGAGGATTAAAATGAAAAAGCTTTCTGAATGCACTTGGAATGCTCAGTCTCCTGAAGTGTGCAGAAATCAGCATGCTCAGATTTAATTTGGAGGAATAAAATGTATTTTTGCACCAGTATGGACAGTCTATTTTATGTTAAAGCTGTCAACCTTACCTTATTTCCTGTCATGGTGATTCTGTTCATGGAAACTGTTTCCAGAAATAACCAGTACTTCTATTTAGTGAAGAACAGAAATGGATTTAAATTTATTGAAAACGCAAAGCAACTGGAAGTAGCAGTAGATGGCTCGGCCCTCCATATTTACATCAGTATATGCAATGGGACCCAATTGATGGTCGTGGCAAAAGATTTTTGGAATGCCTTGTGAGGATATTGAGAAAACATGATCACACATGACAGTATGGAATAGAGAACCAACCACCTTAGAATCTCAAATAATATTGGGTAGAAATGAAATATGCCCAGTTTCTTTTGGTTTCATTTACTGGATACCTGAGGGACAGTTAGCCCCTGGTGAGTTACTGTAACTCAGGGTGCCCTTAAAAAGGTAAAGGATAAAGAGCAACTGAAGATCAGTAAATAATGGTTACTCTTCTAATTAGGTTATTCAAAGGAAAATGATAAAAGGGAAGAAAATCTTGAAAGCTACAGCCCACCGCACAGCAGGCTGTGATTGGTAGTTTAATGATGATTCTACTACCAAGGATCTCTAGGTGTATTATCTTTTCTCTAACTTTTTAATTTTTAGCTCATCTCCCTCCACCCCCCAACAATTACATATTTTATTTATATCTCTGGTTTATTCTTCGGTTTTTCCTTTGAATAAAGGGTTTTTTTTCTCTTAATTTGAAAATCAGATGACACTAATTCTTTTAAAAAGCAAAATCAATGCAATATTTTACCTTCAATTCCATGTAGATCCCAAGTAATTTATCTTCCCCACTTTGGTTAGTGGCCCTGACTAGAAGAGATTTTTCCATCCACTTATAGAAGTCTAGCACCCGCATACTAGGAAGGAAAGTAAGTGCCGCTAAATATAAATGGAAAAAGTTCAAGTAATGGTCATTCTAAGTAATAGTTTAGTCTCTAAGCTTAGCAGGTATTAGTTAGCTTTTTTTGTAAAGGGCCAGTAGTAAATATTTTAGGCTTTGTAGGCCTTGTGTTCTCTGTCCCAACTGCTCAACTCTGCCAGTGTAGTGTGAAGGCAGCCATAGTCAATCCATAAATGAATGGCATGGCTGTGTTCCAGTAAAACTTTATTTAAAAAAACAACAGTTGGCCCACAGCCTTAGCTTGCTGACCCCTGCTTTAGAGAACAGGTAAGGAGCTATCAAGTCACCTCCAGACTAATGGATATTTTAGTTGCTTCACCACAGCGATCACTACTGTAAACCTCATGTCTCAAGGGGAGATATTTATTGTCTTATAAAAAGGGTCAAAAATGTACATTTTACCAGCTTATGGCATTTGCAGAGACTCTGCCTTTTGTCATTTTTTTTTCCCTTTTTTTATTGAATCATAATTGATTATACATATTTTGGGGGTTCAATGTTGACGGATGTCGATCAAATCAATATTATTAGCATATGTATATAATAAAAATTTGTACTTATTCTTTATGCCCCTTGTCCAATCTCTCTCATCCCCCTCTCCCTAGCCCCTCCCACCTCTGATAACCTTAGATTTCTTCTCTCCTTCTGAAAAAGTAACAGTTACTCTGTTGATTTGTTGCCTAGATGATATGCCAATGCTGAGAGAGGTGTGTTCAGGTCCCCCACTATTATCGTAGAGCAGATGCTTCTTCTATCATTCTGGAATGGGCTTTGTGGAGAGAGACATCCTCTTCTTTTCTTTGGTCTCTGCTGGTGACTCTCCTTGTGTCACTCGAGTGGCTGGCAGGCCATCTGCATGGTGATTGTGGCATCTAGCCACGTTTGCTGCAGTCGTACCTATTGTGGTGGGTGCAGTGGACTACCAATATGGAAGTGGTGATTTTGGCATGCTCCTTGCCTGGTTGCAGGAGGAGGGGTCAGTCCCCAGCTCAATGCCTCAGGACCCAGGGCAGGCCCTGTGGCAGCATGCCTGGTTGTGGGGGGAGGGGTTGGTTCCTGGCTCCATCTGTTTTTATATTATAAGATGTTGTTGTGGAGCAGTTGGGTGGGAGAAGGAGGAAGGAGGGGTGGGGTTGAGGCCGGCGGCACCCCCTCATTCCTGCAGGGGAGACCAGGGGGCTTCCAGTGGTAACTTGGTCATCACTGGGCTGGTGGCAGATGGGGGGGTGGTGCGGCTGAGGCCCCCAGCCCTACCCGCTCCCTGGCTGGGGGGCCCAGGGAACTTCCAGTCCTTCTAGGTTTTATACGTGTTCTTTGGGAAAGTGAGGCCTTTACTAGTTAACAGCAAACTTTGTCTCTGGTCTGTGGGTATTTTGTTTTTTCTTTCAGTTCTGTGTTGGATTATTTGTTGTTCTCACTACTTAAACTCTGCACTGGAATTAATTTGTTGTCCTTTGCTTATTTCTAAAATGGGGGAACTTCCTGTGGGGACTAGCACTTGAGCCCTGTGGTTCAGCTAAATTGCTGCTTTACTGCTGATTCCTTGGAGAAGGCTTTTTGTACAGCTCAGGTTTTAAAGGTTGACTCTGTAGGTACTTCTGGGTCTCGTGAGATCTGGTACACCTGGGTTTTATAGAAACTCTGGTCTGGACCTGAGTCTTTTCAGCAAACTGCTCCCCCTGCAGTTCTGTATTCCTGACCAGTCTCTACTGAGTGGGCCTGTGCTGACTGGAGGGCAGATCAGCCATCCTTGCTGTGTCCCAGTGTTACCCCATGGGCCCATCTCCCCCACTGCCTGTACTCCACACACTTTCCATGTGATGGGCCGTGTGCCAGTCCCTTGCATTGATTCACCGGCTTCTGAGTGGCACCTTTTTTTCAGTTGTGGGTCCACAGGCCCCCCACTGGGGGCCACCAAGGCCCTCTTCTCCCCTGCTGCCTCCAAGCAACGTCATATGAAGGACACGGCAGCAGCATTTACCAGCTCTTGCTCCGTGTGCTCACCAGGGCCAGACTTGAAGCAACCAGGGCTTGAAATGGTGGGAGCAGTCCTTTCTTTCTCTCATCATGGCTTCTCCCGCCTACATGCACTCCGTAGGTCTCTCCTCCTCTTCCCCTGAGCTCTAGCGGCTCCAGCTTAGCTGTCATTGCTTTTAAATAGTTGTAAATTGGTTGATTTGTGAGAGAGTGATGCTGGGGGCTGTCTATTCTGCCATCTTGATCAGAAGCTTCATCATTGTTTTTTTTTTTTTTTTTTTTTTTTGTCTTTTTGTCTTTTTCCGTGTCCGGCAACGGATCGCAACCCTCAGTGTTGCCCCCGCACCGGACCGGGGACCGGCAACGGGATCGCAACCCTCGGCGTTGCTCCCGCGCCTCGCTCAGCCAGTGAGCGGGAACCAGTCTGTATGTGGGATCCGAACCCTCGGGCGGGAGCGCCGCCGCGCTTCCCAAGCGGCGCACTTATCCAGTGCGCCACCGGGCCAGCCCATCATTGTTGTTTTTTAATAGCACTACTGTCCTACCAACCTTTCTTGGAAACACCTAACAGCTTCTCTGTACAGAGCACAATATTTCCTGCCTGTTGACGGTAGGTAACTTAGAGTTCTCTGCCTCCTCAAACATCAAAACTATCAAAAGAAAACAAGGAGAATGGAAACAAGACAAGATTTATTCCTTTTCAGACTTCCTTTTTTAGGTGTCTTTCTGGGATGACTTTTTAAGAAATTTATTTATCTGAATGGATATACTAAGAGAATTTGAAAAATTACTTTAGGTTAAAAAATATCAGACACGAAAACACTTTATAGTTCTTTCATTGTTTGCGTCATATAGCAAATCAGTTTTGCATTATTGCTTGCCTCTTGCAGAAGTTAAGAAATAGAGAGGGAAACCTAGTTGTCTAGGTTTATGTACTTTGCCTAGAACGCAAGTGTCAGCCCTGATTTTCTCTCAAGTTAACCTTTTTGAGAAGGTGGCATGTAGCAGAATTCTAGTTATTGAACGATGTATGCTGAAGCCCCTTCTCTTTCTCCTGATCTTTTGTGCATAAACACTCGTTCATACACCTCTGTTCTTCTTTCCAGTTGAAAGGGTGCGCAGCCTCCCGCAAGTTCAGCTGGATCCTCTGCCCAAGACCCTCACCCTGGCTTTCGCTTCTCAGCTCGAGAAGACGTCGCTCTGTCTCACAGCAGATGTCCCTGAGGCAGACCTTTCCGGAGTGGACCCCAAACTTGTGTTTAATCTGATGCCCTTTCAGAGAGCTGGAGTCAAGTAGGTTCTTGTTCTTCCTCTTGCTCTCTCTTGCTGGAATTTCATCATTAACCACCGACTGGGTTCAGATGCTTCCTCTCTTATGAACACTCATCTTCCACGGATGTCTAGAAGCATCTAGGCATTCAACAGCCAGGTGTGCTGTTACCAAAGCCTTATTGTAAACATTGATTTCAACTTCCACAAGTTAACCAGGACTGTGGGTTGCAGGTGTGCAGAAACTTAATTCAAAGTAGCCTAAGGAAAGGAGATTTTTCAGTGCATGTAATAGAAAATCCAGCGTCTCTAAAGATCTCATTAGGACTCTCTGTACCTCTCCCAGATCTGTTTTCTTCTTAGTTTGCTCTGTTCTCAGCCGGGTGCTCCTGCAGTGTGGCAGCTAGGGCTGCCAGGGGCTTCTAGCTGCGTTCCATCAGCCTAGCAACCCGGCAGGAGCACCTCTTCCCTGATGGGTCTGATACTGCGGTGGCTTAGGTTTGGTGCCAGCATTGGAGCCAGTCGCTGTGGTGTAGAGGCTTGGTCTTGTTGGTTATGCCGGTGATAGGCCCATCCATGGAGCCGGAGGGTAGTGCCTGCCCTGCCTGGGTTACTTGGACGGAGAGTGGGAGGTGGTGGTTCTCCAAAACAGTGTCAGGGTGCTCCTGTTTCAGAAAGAAGAAAGACAAATCAATTGTCCTGACCTGTCCTTTTTTCTGTAGTTTCTTGGGAGAAACAAAGTGGCAGGTATGAACTTGCTTTCTCTTGAAAATAGGGGAGTTCAAGGAAAGGAAGGAGGAGGTCTTGATAGTCTGTCCAGTGGTAGTAAGAATTAGAGCTGTCATTAGGCAGTGTGGTTGGAGACAGAGTTCCAAGAGAAGGAGCCTAAATGACCAATGGAACTGATGAACTGAGACAGCCTCCTGATGCCTCAGAAAACTTGGCTGCTGTCTCTGACGGGAGTTTGGTGTCTGTGCCTTCTGGGCACAGCTGCCCCTTACTACATTCCATGGTTGCAGTCCTCCCCTCTCTTCTTCCTTTCCCTTCCATCTCTCGTAGATAACACACTCTGCAAAAATTCATCTTGCTTTGCCATTTCAGTCCTTCAGCCATTGAGATGTCCTTTGTACCTTGTTATAACCACGCTCGGTGACTTTTTCCTTTGGTCTTTCTTCCTCTGGTTCCTTTATGAAAGCTGAGACAGAGTTTGCCCAGCCCCACCCTGTGGGCAACCCCTGTCTTCAGCATACCAGTTCTCCCCAGCTCTGTTGGAGATGCTTGGCCCTACACGGTGAATGCTCACCTTGCCAGTTCACGCTTCCCCGAGAGAGGCTGTGCATGAGGCCCCGAGAGCAGGTGTGCACATGACCACAGCAGCAGCAGCACTAGTAGTGGCATCAGAACCCGGCCAGCAGCTTTCATCCTTTTCTCCCACTATGGCTCTGAAGCTGCTGGTGGTGCCGGGAGCCTTTCTTTAGAACTCTCTAATGAAATCCAGATTTTAGCTTTCAACCTCAGAAGAGGTTTTGTATTGGGGGAGAAGGGCTGCCAATTCCATGTTTTTTGTTTTGTTTTTTTTTTAACGTAAGAACTACAGTTGAACATACCCTTAAATTTATGGAGCAACCTGTCTTAGAGATATCAGCTTCCTCCAAAATCTGAATGGTCTCTTTCAACAGATGAGTGAGTTCAGGCTCAGAATGACAGTCATTTGCTTAAAGACACTCAGCTCGCAAAAGTGAAATTGGGGCTTAAGTCCGTGTTTTCTGATTATGAATGTAGCATTTTTTTCCTATTATATCAGACTGCCCTGCAGAGGCTGACATTTAGTTGTGTTATTGTTTGTCTGTTATCCAGGCCTTTTCTTTGCTTTTTTTTTTTTTTGTCTTTTTTCGTGTCCGGCAACGGATCACAACCCTCAGTGTCGCGCCCGTACCAGACCAGGACCGGCAACAGGATCGCAACCCTCGGTGTCGCACCCACACCTCGCTCAGTCAGTGAGCGGGAACCGGTCTGTATGTGGGATCCAAACCCTCGGCGGGAGCGCCATCGCGCTCCCAAGCGGCACACTATAGCAGTGCGCCACCGGGCCAGCCCGTGCTTTGTTGAAATTTTTTGGCTACTTTGTTCCTTAGTTGGGCCACCTCAAAGTGGGGAAAAAGGAGAGAAGGTGAAATTCAGGGGGTCCCCATCGGCGGGAGCGCCATCGCGCTCCCAAGCGGCGCACTATAGCAGTGCGCCACCGGGCCAGCCCCTGCTTTGTTGAAATTTTTTGGCTACTTTGTTCCTTAGTTGGGCCACCTCAAAGTGGGGAAAAAGGAGAGAAGGTGAAATTCAGGGGGTCCCCATCTGCTATGAAAATGACCATATGGATCAAACCTTCTGGAAACTATAGATGGTACAGCAGAGGAGGCTGAAACAAAAGACACTCAAGGGTGTAGGACCCTCTGTGGATCTGGTGCCCAGGTGCAGCCTGTCCTCCCTGGCCACTGGTTTTGTAAGTCAGCAAGTGAGGTAAAAAATGAGTCTTCTCACACCCACCCTCCCCCTTCTGTTTGTTGATCCCAGAAGTGGCCCTGAAGATTACGTAGAGGTAGGTATGTGGAGAGAAGGCCAGGCTGCGGGACAGGTGAGGTGGCACACTGCTGGGCCGCTGCCACCCCAGTGCAGAGGTGTAGTGGCCAAGGTGGGAAGCTGCTTGGAGACAGAGAAGTGCCCCGACAGGACACCTGTTGTCGCCACACCTGCTGGGCCTTGGCATGTTGGCCTCTAGGCACCTGGAGTCTGCTGCTCAGTTTTCCTGCAGTTCAAATCTGATCATTCTCAAAAGACCAAGTGCGATTCAAAAGGTCAAGTGCAGCTTAAAACTCTCGTAGGCCATACCAACTGCTGATGAGAAGAGATTACATTTAGCATGCAAGAAGGAAAGAAAAAGCTATTCGACTGGCTTCTTACCAGATTTCTAAGCAGATGATCAGGTTTTCAGGAATGAGATGAAAGAGGACTGACCAGTGTTTGGAGCAGGAGGCCAGACATCTGGCACATGAGATCTTTTTACTTTTTTGCTGATCAATCATGGGACTTGAGCAAGTCATTTTTACTGTTTGTGTCTTATTATTTTCCTTTTTGTGGAATAGTAGTTATAACTGGAACATTTCCTTAGCTCTTAAGATGGTGCCAAGCGCTGTTTTAAGGACTTAACATATTAACTCTATTACTTTCTAGATCTTCCCCCTCCCCAACCGTCTTTTGACTACCATTCCACATTTTCCCTATTTTGGCTATCTTTTTATTCTGCCCCTAATTGGCTCCTGCTCTTTCCTCTTTGGGAGCTATCTTGTGAGCAGGGCCCACACTGGCTAGGGCATTAGGCTGCACCCAGCAGTGCTTATCCACTTGACGTGGTGGCAGATCAACTAGTGCCCCGGAAGATGTAACGTGCTGCTGTCCTGACCTCATCTGCTTTCAGTTTTGCCATAGCAAGAAGAGGCCGCCTGCTGCTTGCTGATGACATGGGCCTGGGGAAGACCATTCAAGCCATCTGTATAGCGGCCTTTTACCAGAAAGAGTGGCCACTCTTGGTCGTGGTACCGTCCTCTGTGCGCTTCACCTGGGAGCAGGTTAATTCTCTTTGTATTGTGATTTTAACAAAGAAGGTTTTCCTCAGTGTTAGAGTAGTAAAATAATGGTCTGGAGGCAGGGCCAGGGGATCTTTAAAGATCCGGTCTCAGGTAAAGGCAGGAAGAAAGATGAGATGGCCTCCTGAGGGCAAGCTGATGGTTTTCTGAATTAGAATCAGGTTATAACTTTAGCAAAGAAAGCTAAGGAGTTGCCAGCTCAGAGACTTAGGTCAGTTGTCAGCAGACATTTCCAGTACCTCTTGTGCCCTGCCAATAATACCTTTCATCTGCACCATACTCAATTTCCAAAATATTTTTACCTCTTCTATTTTCCTTAATTCTATCACGGACATGTGCATTAGACATAATACACAGTAACCCCATTTACAGGTGAGAAAACTGAATCTGTAAGAGGTTAAATGAAGCGCTGTGCTTCCTGCTAATGAGGAGCAGGGCGGGACCTTGGAGTCGCAGCTCTTGACTTCTCGGCTCTGTGACAGGCGGTGCAGGAAGGATGTTCACCGTCTGCCACATGCCCTATGGAGGAAGACTCTGACCTGAACACCGCATTATCACTCACCCTTGAGCTTTTTCTACCATAAAGCCAGGAATCAGAGTAGTTCTGTGAAATGAATAAAAGTCCTTGTATGAAAACTCAGTGAAGACACAAGACCTAGTTCATCGTCAGCAGCTTTTTCTGGTTTTATGCTCCTGCTGGTGGACTTGGGCCTCCCTCCAGCTCGGCTTCTTCCTGAGGCCTCCAGGAGCCGTTGTGGAGAAGACGCAGCTCTGCTTGCTGCTGGAAGTCTGATGCACAGATGTGTCATTCTAACCAAAGAAAAGGCAAAAAACGTAAAAAATGTGCATTGAAACAGTACCTCATTCTTTTCCTGTCCTTGTGATCTGAGTTCTGCCAATGCTGTAGAAAGGAATTATTCAGTACTTATTTTGTGTGTGTTAGATTCCCACAGCACCCTCAGAAATTCTAGAGAAGAGTCAGAAATCAGATGATTACAAGCGGGACCAAGCCTAGAGAAAAGGTCCGCAATCCCATTGTCGCAGCAGTGTCAGCCCAGGCGCTGACATGGGGGCACTCTGGTGGCCTTGCACAGGCTCCAGATACCAGTTTTAGCTAGAGATGGTAATATTTCTGGAGAGAGCAGGTGGCTTTGTAGAAAATGTTGACATAAATATTTTCATTGGCATCAACAAACACTTACGGTTTTCCTCCAATGTACCAGGCTAAGTCCTTTACAAAAGTTCTCTTAGGTAGAGTTGCACTCTTTCCCTGAAGAAACTTGCTGTCTAGTTAGAGATCACAGAGATGACACACACAGATACCACGAAGTGCTTGCTCATAAGAGAAGGGGTGTCCTGTTAGTGAAAAGCACAAGGGAAGGGGTGGGTAAGAGGAAGGTGGGGATGGTGGCTGCTTATAGCACAGGGATTACAGTGGATGAGGAGGGAGGGGAACCAAGTTTATTTTTTAGGAAACATTAAAATTGGTCCCCATTGGGAGAGTGCTGTTGAGGAGTCGGCTGGGGTCACAGCTGGCAGCTGCAGTACTAGATCACCATTTTTGTTTTGTTCTCTCCTGTCACACCCAGGCCTTTCTTCGGTGGCTGCCATCTCTGAGCCCAGACCGCATCAACGTCGTGGTGACCAGGAATGACTGCCTGACCGCTGGCTTGGTCAACATTGTCAGTTTTGACCTTCTTAGCAAGTTGGAAAAACAGCTAAAAACCCCTTTCAAAGTTGTCATCGTTGTAAGTGACTTGACAAAGTCTTTAAGTAAATTTATCGCTTTGGCAACTTTCTTAAAAGCTCCAAGAACTTTCATATGTGTAATCTCATTGAGCCTCTAGGTTTCCAGAATAGAAATCATAGTCTGTTTTGTCGGGAACTAGCATTTCATTCCTTTCAAATTGCTGTTTTCAGACCTAGCTGCATATTAGAATCTCCTGGGAAGCATTTTAAAAAACGTGATTTAATAGGTTTGTGCCAGGGGTTTCTAGGCCACCTGTTCCCCAGTGTGAGGTCACAGGTAGAGGCCAGCACATGGGCTCCAGACCACAGGGCTCCATAGATGCAAGGGTGTGCGTTTTCACCTGGGGTCATCTTGCCAGAATGGCTCAGACATACAGTTCGAGCAATTAATGTATCTTCTTTCAGCCAGTATGAAGACACCCCTCCCCCGCCAAAAGCACTTTTCACTGTAGTTATTTATTTAAAGAAGGCTTTACTGGAGTCCTGCTCCCAAATTTGACAGCACGTCTTTCAGTGACTGGCCTTCCTCTCATGCTTCACAAAGAAGGTCTAGACAGACTTGGTGCCTGGCCAGCTCTGTCAGCATTGAATGTATCAACATAGCTTCCCAGTACCAGCATCGTGGGAGCTTAGAGAAGGGAGGAGAAGACACGGTTTCTGACCTCAGGGGACCTATTATGTTTTAGACAGGAGACCCACACTGTGTTCTTAGCATCAGCAAACTTAAATGTTTCTGTTTCTTCAGTACTTTGTGGGTAATGAGCCTTTGGGGGAGTATTTCTGGTATGGTACAAATTCAAGTCTGGCTTTGAAAGAAATGTCAGCATACATATAAAGTGAAAACATTAAAAGAAGTATCCCAGGATGGTGATAGCTCCTGGGAAGAATAATGACTTCATTTCTCACCTGTTACCTTGTGTTAGGTACTTTATGTATAATCGCTGATCTTACCAGTGCCCCCTGAGCAGGCGTTAGCCTTCACCTTGCGAGTTATCCATTTCACAGCTGATGAAACTCACATGGAGAGCGGGCACATAATTTGCCAACAGGCATGAAGCTTGCAGGCTGGAGAATCGTTGATTAAAGCTGGGTTGCATCTGGCTTTAGTATTCCTGTTTTTCTGTTTCTGGCTCATTCTTCAACCTACTGTGTAATTTTTGGCAAGCCATACACCACCAGTGTTGATTTGTTCTCTACTTAAGTAAAAGCCCTGTCGCCTTCTGACTTCAAAATGATGGCTCTGAGATGTCACACGTCTTAGAAGAGGCTTTATGTACAAGCTATTCCTTGAGATTTGTTCCAGTTGTGCTACGTTTTTACCCACTGATCGAAAGGGTCCATTCCCACCATAACGTTTATACTTTCTGTGATTTCTCTCTATAAGCACCTTTTCTTGACAGCCAGGTGGACTCATTATGAAATAGTACAGATGTAACCTCGCTGGTTTCTGGGACTAGATAATAGCCACGACATGTGAGGCGTCCTCTCACACCCCCTCCATTGTGCTTTTGAGGCCCTTTTTATTCATCATGGCTGCAGTGGAACAGGGAATTTCTTATAGATCAGCTTCAGGGACAGAGCCAGGATCTCTGTGATATCCCCCAGTCACAAGGTGGCCGATACCAATGAGGGCTTACCAAGTGGCAGGACTGTCCTAGAGCTTTATGTGTGTTAGCCCATTTAAGACTTACAACCTGATACATTAAGAACTACTATAATACCCATTCTATAGATGGAGAAACTGGCACCATGTGAGGTCACGTAGTTGCTTAGAGTCACATAGCAAGGAATTTGAATGGTACCAAACTAGAAATATTCCCCCCAAATACCAAAAAAGTATAAGTTAATCATTTGGCTTTAGAAAATAGGACAAATTCTACGTTTGCGTTTGCACAGAGTGCAGAGTTGTAAATAATCCAACTCTGTATTCTAAGCATAACAGTCAGTCCCTTGAGGGCAGGAGTCACGTCTTCCCTTCCCATTCCTCAGTTCCCACAGTACTTTGTTCACTCGCTTTCAGTGACAGTACTGATGACATCATCTGGTCAGTGGTCGGTACGTCTGGTGTCCTTCCTGCACTGCGAGCCCCTGAGTTCAGGAATGGACCCCCAGAGCTTTGCACCAATGCAGGGCACGCAGTGGGTCTCCAGCGCACTACTTTGGTGGCACACTGAGGGGCCTGTCACAAAGCAGCAAACCACCTTTCAGTGGCTTGTCCATCCTGGCGGCCTCTGGGTAGGCAGGGCGGGCATTCACCAGCCTTACTTTATAGGTGGAAAACTGTGCCGAGATATGAAGCAACTTGCCCTGGTGTAGGAGAGAAGCTGCCATCAGAATCCTGGGTCCTTACCTGGGCCCACTGCTCCCACATGGCAGGGAAGTACCCACATGGCAGACGCCATGCCAGGGTCAACCTTAACTTAAGATGGGCTCTGTCTCTGTCCACTCAGGATTGGGCCTTGCTCACCTGCATGGCTGTTTCTTTTCAGGATGAATCTCACTTCCTCAAAAACAGTAGGACTGCCCGCTGTCGAGCATCTATGCCCCTCCTAAAGGTGAGTACTGCTGAGAACAGATGTCCAGCCTGAGCCCACTGGGCATCGAGATCCCATAGTGTTTTGCTGGGGCTTGCAGGGGGTCCCAGTGCAGAAGGGGCTGCGAGTCCAGGCCTCTGGGTGGCAGGCATGACTTAGCATTGCTTGAGAGCGTCTCTCCTTAGGGCCCTGGTGCCAGTTTTATTTTTCTTCCTAATATCCTGCTAAGGAACCAGTAGTCAGTGAAAATGAAGACCTATCGAGAATCACTGGCCAGTCAGGACTGAACTCCAGAATCTCCTCTGGCTTCTTGCTCGGATAAGGGAGAGCCTCCAGCAGCTTGTTCACTAAACGGCTCAGGAGAAACTGCCCATCTTCTAAGTCACTTGTAGTGGCAAAGCTGTCAAGGCGCTGGGAATGAAGGGAAATGAGTTACATACACTTAGAACTGGGCTAGAGCCTGTGGGTGTCAGCAAGATGCACTGGCAGAGCTGAGACACACTTTCTATGACTACCTTGAGCCTGTCTGGTTAACAGGAGGGCTAGTCATCCACATTCTCTTTTGTGGTGGCCTAAACTTGTCCCTGAGCACTTTGGCTGGTGTGAGTCCTGGCTTCAGAGCAGACGGGTGGGTATGTGCTGTAGCTTCAAGACTATCAAAATGTGTTCTGATATTCAGCATAGACTCCATGTTTCATCTGGCGCTCCCTTCAGTGTCTGTGTCCTGGCCTGGCCCCCCCACCCCTGACAGAGGGTAGTACCCCAAATTTCCTTCCATCTTTTTGGGGTGAGTTTTTTCCTAATATTGGGAGGAGGGGAGAGTACAAGTTAGAAATCTCTCACAGTTGCCTTTGGAGGAGTCCACTTGGGCTTGTGTAGACTGAGCAAACAGAAGTGCGTGGTTTTCCTGTGCTCGATTAAAGCAGCCTTTGTATTACACTGCGTGCAAAACCTGCAGCTTTTAGTGCTTAAAAGAAGCTTTAACTTTCTCTTAACTAGAGAAAACAAGTATGCTAAATGTTGGTGAAGCTTAGTGTTGGAAAATTAGCTGAATTTTACCATTTCTTTGCAAAACATACATAAGTGTCTATTCATTTCAAGTTTTTACTTTTTTAGGAATAACAGGTAGTTTGATACATCCTCCAAGGCAGGATTATATCATATGCTCCAGACCTAAAAATGAACGTCCTTTACTTAAAAAGCTTGATCCTCTGCTAATATTACCTATAAATATTTATATATCATTAGCCATTTATGGACACACTTAAACGGAATGTTTTTCTTAGGGTGGTGACCCTTCTTTTGGATGACTTTAATATATTTTTAGAAAAATTTTAATAGGCTTTGGTGCTGTGATTCCGATATTATGGCCATAACTAAAATTAAATCTGTATCCCTGATTATTTAGACAAGGGAAATTGCACAATAGATAGATTATATCATTAAAGTTATAATACGAAAGCTTTTTCGCACCTGCCGTGTTAATGTAGTCATTGCCTGGTTAGGCCAAGGTGAACTACATATTGGTTTCTGAAATATGTGCTTCTGAGCCAGACCTTTGGAAGCAGCATATATGTCTTTAATATCTTGGGTATATTTCAGAGTGTCACATTTAAAACAAACCTTTTAACTTCTGACTAGTATATATATAACATTTGCCATAGAACTTGGATGAATTAATATTTTAAAGTAGGAATCGTGAACATGGCCTGCTGTTTATGAGGTGTCTTGAAGCCACTCTCTTCTGTAACATTGACTTCACATAATGCTGAACTGTGGCAGAATTGGGGTGAAGTAGTAGAGTGGGGCATTTTATGCTGTTCTGTTAACCAAACCTTTCATTTCTCTCTGCTATACTTTCATCTAGATCAGAGTTTCTCAGCCTTGATACTATTTGACATTTGGGGCTGGAAGATTCTTTGATGTGGGGTGCTGTTCTGTGCATTGTAAGATATTTAGCAGCATCCCTGACCTCTACCCACTAGATGCCAGTAGTAACCTCCCCAGGGTGATAACCAAAATCGTCTCTAGCTGTTACCAAATGTCGCTCGGGCAATGAGGGGGAGACAAATCACTCCCCTACCCACATTGAGAACCACTGATGTAAATACTCTAAGGAAATGAATCTAAATGTTTTTGAAATAAGATATTTGGGAGGAAGTAAAGCATGTCTTTGAAAAGCCACATGAGGGCCTAATTTAATGCCACTAGATTGGTCCTCTAATATGTACATCTCCTATAATTATGTTCTGATAATTAATATCACAAGGTATTTTTAGCAAATGTACTTAATGAAGTAGATTGTATTGCACAGTCTGTGAGATAGCAGGGCCAGATCATGTCCAGAAAATGTGAGTTTTGTAAATGGCAACAGCAGTCATTATATAGAGGACATGTTGTTAGGTTGTAAGAAATAGGTGTCATTGTCTCGGAGAAATGTGACATCTTTTTTCCCCCGCAACACTATTTGCCTGGACTAGTGATACTAAGCAAGGTAGTTCTGTTTTTACATATAAATGTATGAAAGTAGGCAAGACAGAAAGCTATAAAGAACAAAGTTAAAATCAGCTTTAATTCCTCCAACAGAGGAAACCACTGTTAATTTTTATAACATGTCTGTTGTAGGGCAAGATCATCTGTTTGTTTTTTTTTTTAAAGATGACCGGTAAGGGGATCTTAACCCTTGACTTGGTGTTGTCGGCACCACGTTCTCCCAAGTGAGCTAACCGGCCATCCCTATATAGGGATCTGAACCCGTGGCCTTGGTGTTATCAGCACCACACTCTCCCAAGTGAGTCATGGGCCAGCCCCAAGATCATCATTTTTAAGGACTGTGGAGCATTCTGTTGTATGGGAACAGCCCATAATTTAACCCTTATGTCAGACACTCAGTTCTTTCCCTTTTCTGCTGTTATGAGTGATTCTGCAAGTGAACATCATCCATATATATGTACCTTGCATACTTATACTGTTAGGACAAGTTCCTACAATCACAATTGCTGGGTCAGTTTCCATTTTACCTTTTGGTAAAGGCCTGCGAAGCCCAATCTGGGCAGGTGTGACAATCTCCACTTCCATTCAGTCCATACCAGAGGCTCTTTTTCTCCACATGATTCCAACTCTGAGGATTATCAGTGCTCATTTGAACAATGAGGTATGTGTTTGGGTTTTTTGGTTTGTTTAGCTTAGTTGTATGTTGTTTGCATTGATTTTTTTTTTTATTGTTAAACTGGTATAATAACAAAATAAAATTTTTTTAAAGAGAAAAGGCCCCCAGAATTCCACCATCCTTTTCTAATAAATAACTGTTTCTCTTTTTCTATGAACAGAGTACTTTTTATATCTCTGTTGATTGGCTAGATGAAATATTGGCTAAAATGTATGAGCTTTTTTCATTTTTATAAAAGTAGTTTAAATAGATGATAAATTCAAATGGTTCAAAAGGATGGACAGTGAAAAATAAGTCTTTCTGCCACCTCTGGATCCCCAGTTCCTTGGTCTCTCTCCCCAAAGGCAACCGTAGTTAAAAGATTTTCAGGTTCATGTCTATAAAATAGCCTACAGCCACATAGGTATGAATGTGTGTGTTTCTTTTCACCCTCTGTACCGTGTTCTATATCCACTGTTTTACAACTACCTTTTTTCTTTTAATAACGTATCTTGAGAATCATTCCTCGTCATTCCGAATGACTACCTCATTCTTACAAATGCTGTTCTGTTGTATAAATTTACAAAAATATGTATCATCTGTTCCCTTTCAGCAGATTTGTAACCTGGCTTTGGCTGTTACATACTACACTGCAGTGACACCTTTTCATATGATGCAGAAATGGGGAGTAGAAAACTCAGTCCCTCTGTGTCTGAAGGAGATGGCTTTTTGCCTCTCTCAGGCTGGAGGGGAGAGTAGCGTCATCTGGTGGGTTCTGTTTCCTCTGGTGTGATGAAGTTACAGGAGAAGTCCCCTGTGGTCCATCCGTTCTGGTTTATTTCCTTAATTTTATTACAGAATCAGAATGAAAAAGGACATTATTGGAGTCTGATACTTAAGGTAAAATAGTCTATCTTTTCCAGAGTAAAAAAATCCACCTTAGTGTTTAATTTTAGTATGTGTGCTACATTAATAATACTTATACACAAGTGTTTTGCATGCCTTAAAGCTCAGAATAGAATAACTTTAATCAGCTATAATTATACCACTTGATGTATCTCATTGTAACATTTTGGTATTTTCGAATCAATACACTTGTAGTCACAGTCTTCTTTCTGTCTGTTCTTACCCGAGAACTGCCTTATATGTGGCATCAGAATTTCATTGATATCAGGGCAGCAATACTAGCTCAGCTTGAAAGCATTCTCGTTTTCATGCAAACCAGTTTAGTAAGGTCAGCACTGTTTAGACTTGCAATTGGAACTTTGTGTGTTTTTTTGGAACACAGGCTAAAATTGAGAAGGAACCATTTATAAGAAATATGCTCACCTAACCAGAGACTTGTAAAGGCCATCTTGTTAGGTATCACTGAGTGGTAGGTCGTCTTGTGCTGATATTTGGGGCAGCCTCTGGTCAACAGTGGCCATAATTATGTCCACTGTTAGGGCTTGGTTTGGTCTTGTTTGTCATGGGGAGCACTACTCAAGAGCAGAGCAAAGAATAGAACCTCAGTCTTCTTCCCAAACTCTAATCACTGGATTTCTCCTGAGTATTGAGCTTTTCTTCTTGTACTCACGCTTTAGAGGTACCTACCGGTGGTGACTCTTTCGTTGCTTCTTGGGCAGTGGCTGTGGTCTTGCACTTGTTCTTGGTCTGTGTACGTTTGGTCACTCGTCCTCAGCTATGCTTGCCACTGTCCCTTGCTTTTGCTTCTTCTGTAGCGACTTTTGAACTAATTAAAGCATAGATTCAATGTTACCTGTCTTCTCCATGTCCTGTTTCTAGATGGAATATATTGTGTAAACTTTATTTAGAGTACTGTCAGGACTTATACTAGGTGGAAGAATGAGACTAAGCTTTGAGGAGTGTGGTTTTTTCCCCCTAGTTTGGGGTCTTGGTGAAATATGTTATAGCCAATCAGAATAATTGAGCAAAGCAAGTTACTAGCTCAGGAAAAACCAAATAGAGAGAGATATAGCAGAAAGTGATGAAGAATTTCTGGGCTGCTTCTTGTATGAACTTAAAACAAGTTCAGTTCTTTTCTCTACAGTAGAATGTCCTCTTGGCTCCTGTTTTAAAATCTATGTGTAAGTTATCTACTTTGAATTACTACGTTGGATTCTCCTTGGCAAATTATATATACCAACTTGTCCTGCCACCAACCTATTCTGCAGGGTTTTCCTACCCCCAACCAACGAGGAAACTAAGCCAGTTTTTGAAGGTCATCTCCCACCCAACAGTGTCATGTGAATCACATCTTTCCAGCGCCAAACAGAAATTACTTTTTTCATTGCTCCATCGTAGGTTTCACGGGTGCCGCTTTCTTTCCTTCCCCAGGGGAGTTAACTGTAAAGTGTCCGATTTAGTGTTGATTGATGTCGTTTTATGCATTTATATTTTCCTAGATTGGAAGTTCTCAGAGGTGGAGGGTGACACTTAAATCGTTTGCAGCTGGGCATGGATTAAAGGCCTTCAAGATGACAGTGGATGATAGTACAAATATGTTGGGGCTGAGCAGGGAGCAGCCTAAATCATTCCATAGCAGAGGAGATGCCTTTCTAGTTTCTTTTCAAAGCTGGCCTTTTTCTTTTTCCATAATGCTGCTTCTGCTGTTATTTAACACCCACAGATGTCTGTTTGCAGAGCTACCTTCACTCTCTAGTCTGGGAAGTGCAGGGAGAACTGACTCAGTATTAACTACATCCTATAAATATCTGTATTAGTCCATTTGTTGCTTATAACAAAATACCTGAAACTGGGTGATTTATAAAGAAAAATGAAATTTATTCCTTACAGTTTCTGAGGCTGGGAAGTCCAAAGTCCATCTGGTGGTG